GGCGGTCATTAATTCTGCCAGATTCGAAGCCAAATGTCGAATTAGTCAATATATTATTTTCCCCGTTTCTCTTGCTGTTGTTTTCCCCCGGGAGATAGAAGAAAAAAAAAGGTGGAAGTGTGCCCGCACATCTGAGCGGGTTAGCGTTTATATTTATGTAGCGATGACGTCCGTGCCTGCTGTCTGAAAATGAAAGACAAATGAAGCGGTGTAATGCAGAAAAATAACTGTTAAACAGCTCGGCGCAGGACGAGAATTGGCAGGAAACAAGCATCAGATGAAGGAAAAGCTTGTCAAAACTAATTCGATAAAGTTTGAATCTCTATTGAAAGGGAACATATGGCATTCTTCTCATTTAGTCCATTTCTTTTTGCACAATTGAAACTTTTAGATAGAGGTCTTAGGGCCAAGCCTGGAGGGGACAAAACATTTTTCAGCATCACTTTTAGAGCGGTCCCAATTATGGACAATTATACAGCGACATTGTCCAGTGTCTGATCACAAAGATGTAAAAGAACTTTTTTTTTTTTTTTTTGGAAGCATCAAGAATAAAAGTGACAAATTGCATTATACAGAAACAATGCAAATGCAAAGTGTGTGTGTGTGTGTGTGTGTGTGTGTGTTGGTCGCTGTTATTGCTGGATATTATTACAGAAGAATTGTTAGGAAATGTAGTTTTTGTTGCAACAGTGTGTTTTTTATTTTGTTAGTGGGTGTGGGTGATTTTGCAATGCATTAAAAAAAGCATTTCAAATGAATCATTAATAAATCAAGTTGACTTTTGCAATATGGATGCTTTCATTACATAAACTAGAAAAGCACCCAGACTGTGATTTTGAACCTAAACTGTTTGTGTCTATTTATCTGTGAGTAAAAATAGCTCAATCAAACAAATACACACACACACACACACACAGTTGATCACATTACCCCTGAGGCAATAGTAAAATAATGCATAATATTTGTTCTTCAAGGGCCATTCTTTTAATTGACGGCACGTAGAATTTACTAGAGAAATTCCCAAAACTAATATTGTTGTCAAAAAAAAGAAAAACTGCTCTGAACATGGCATCATAGTCTGAGGATTTACCAAAGCAAACCAAGTTGAAGATACCAAAACTTTGTAACTTTAATAAAACTTAATCTGCGATGAGTATTTGGCTGAACATTTTCTGGCTGCACTTTTTGTTCCGATAAAAATATTTGTCGCATTAAGATTGCAAACAGAGACAAAAATGCTAAATCCTCAACACTACAACACTGCCTTTTCCACAGTGCCCTCTGTTCCTGCTGATTCATTTTGGCATTTATGAAAAAGCGTTGCGGGAGGAAACCTGTTTTGTAGCCGATTTTATTTGCCGAGCGAGACGGAGTTATAAAACGGCCTGTTATTACGCGATGAAATAAATATGTCTTTGAGCAGGGCCTACATTGTTGCTGCTCTCCATAACTCCAGGGCTTCGGGACATGAAAGCAGCTGACCTAAAATGCTCGACTTGACGCGAGTATTTGTTTAAAAGCTCAGACAATGAAAGGCTTTAGAGACGGCACACGCATAACCTTTGCCACACTTCGAAACAGCAGTGTCATAAGTGAGGTGTGAGGTGTGGACGGGAAAAACACATTCACAAACTATATGCGCACAACATATTAGCATGCCAGACAGTTACTAAAAAGTTACGTATGGAATTCCTTACTTTTGGAGCATAGGTTTACATTTTGTTTCCAGTCGATTAGTAGTATTAATCTTTATTTATATACCGCCTTTTCACTGCAGATCTGAGTCTCAAAGCGGTTTACAATTGTTAATTATGGGCATTTGTCTCTCACTCCACACAGAGATGGGAGCGGGGTCGCCAGTACAGGAGGCGCATGCCAGACATGTCTATTGGACATATTTTTAGTGGTAGGGGAAACCGGAGTACCCGGAGGAAACCTACGCAGACACGGGGAGAACATGCAAACTCCACTCAGAAAGGCCCTGGTCCGACCGGGATTCGAACCCAGGACCTTCTTGCTGAGAGGCAAGAGTGCTACCCACTCAGCCACCGTGCCGATTAGGTTTGAAAGTATTTTATTTTGAACAGATTTATCGTGAGTTTTGTTGAATTGAACAAACAGAAAGACAGCCTTCAACTCAGACAATATTTGTGACAGTATCCCCCGCTTTATCCCCATGTCCATCCATCCATTTTCTTCCCCTTAACTCTTTTCTGGGTCGGGCAGTAATCCGCTGCCACCCAGTTCACAGAGCACCAGCCCAAGGACACAACAACACCAGACATCAGTGGGAGTTGGCGGAGAAGGTCTTGCGGTGGCCTCAAAACCATAACCTTCAGGCTCAAAGGCCAATGCCTTTTCTTTTTTGTGTTTTTGCATACTAATTGTATTGGTATGAGTATGGATTTTTATAGTGAAAAGTTTTTTAATAAAAGGATTTTGATATAATCTGACCCACTGTCAAATCCAATTTAAGCAGTTTGCAAATTGTATCTATCTTTATTTAACCTGGAACGTCACACTGACTTTTCCAGGAGACTTCTGTCCCTAGCCTGGTCGTACCACACCATAGTACAAATTTCATTT